TTTTCACATAATAAGTGCTCTCAGTATACATGTCACAAATTATTACTACTGTTTTTTTTTTAATTGGCAGAGGGCACATGCACTCACCAAAGACAGAGAGAGGAAGAAGGCACGCCTTAGCGGGACATGGTCATGTTGCAATCATTTTTTCCTCCATTACTCCCTTCCATTAGGGTTTGGAGAATGCACACACACATGCCTAGTGTATTTTAGAACAAGCTGGCACTGGAATCTGACCCACTGTCAGTCATATGGAATCAAGCTCCTGATGCATTATGCTACGGTGATGGCTCTCAATTATTATCAAAATAATTTCTGGGTCCAGCTGCTGTAGCAAGCGTAAGATGCTGCTGCTTGGCAGGCTATGGCTGCACAGGAGACCACATTCCACACCCAGCCCTCTGTAAAAAGTTGGGCACAACGGCATACACCAACACAGGGGATCATGACACAGTAAGACCTAAAATACATGTCACCCCCACACCCATATCCCTCCCCAAACCCTTTACTATAGGATTTATTCCACTTAGAAATGCCTGTAAACTACTACAAAAAAATCTCTATATTCCACATTCATACATGAAATTTTATTGAACTTTCATATCTTCTCACTAATAAAAGGGATCATTTTAAACTAAATAAATCCTATATCAAAACAATACACTTTTTTGGGAACCAGCAGTTAGCGTTATGGCTATGTCGCTTGACTCCCACATAGTCGACCGCAGTTCGCGTCCCGGACCCGGTGGCTTAAAACTCACGCCGGGCGCGTGTGCGTGCGTGCCCAAGATCCCGAGAGGAGAATGGAGGAGAAGGGATTGCGGTGTGACCATCCCCCCTGGGGGGGTGATTTCTCGCTTTCTGTCTCTATGTCTTTCTCTGTCTGTCTGGCGAGCGCATGCGCCCTATGGCGAAAAAAAAAAAAAAAAAAAAAACAATACTTTTGTTTAAAAAAGAATACAAATGATTCTTTTTTTTCCTAGGTTTTTGCCATAGGGTGCATGTGCTTCCTAGGGAGGGAAAGAAAAGGGGGAAAGTGAGCAATCAATCCCCATGAGGATGGTCCCATTGCAATCCATTCTCTTCTCGGGATTTTGGGCATGCATGCACACGTGCCAGGCATGATTTTCAAGCCACTGAGTCCTGGACTCAAAGTGCAGTTGGCCATGTGAGAGTCTAGCATTAACCATCACACAACCTGCTGGATCTGACAAATAATTCTTTAAACATAGTTCAAAACAATGATAATGTAAATATGCCAGGTAGAAATCTAAGATTTGAACAAAAATAGGAGGTTAATAATTATATTCTTTTTTTAAACTCTATTTATTTATCTTAATTTGACCATAGAAGGAGAGAGAGAGAGAAAGTAAGAAAGGAAGCTGCCAGGACCAGGACTCAGCATGTGGAAACCAGGGCCCTTAACCACCACGCCACCTGCCAGGTCCAGTACTTACATTCTTATAACTTTTGTAGCAGGCAGGGACTGAGACTTAATCCAATTCCTAGTTAGAATACATTTTAATTTATCATGTCATTTAATTCCATTTTCTTCTAGTACATTTTAAATTACTCTTTCACCTTTTGTTTTTGTATGTGACCTCAATTTAACTTCAAGTTTTAGGTTCTAAGAAGCCCTGCATAGAGGAACCTTGGGTCAGCGGGTGCAAGCTGTACTTTGTCTCTTCAAATCTCAAGCTATATGTCCAATGGCAGATACAATGGAATGGAAGAAATGAGGGGACTTCAAAAGTTCATGAAAAAGTGAGGTTTTACTTTGGTACAAAAATTCTTGAAACCCATGCTCACTTTTTCTATAATACAAGTTTTCCATGAACTTTGTGAAGACTTCTGTGCTTCCACTACAGAATGGCTACAGCACACCACTCCATAAGACAAGCCTACTGGCATGGCAAAATGGCCCCCGCATTTCATACTACAAAATGCACTTTCTAACTACCTGATGTTTGGAATAAGTAAGTTTAGATTCTCAAGCTTAATTCTGAGGAAGAAATATCTTCTACAGCTGTATTAGTTTGTTAAGGCTGCCATAACAAAATACAGCAGGCTGGGTGGAACACCAAGATAAAGCGTTAGCAGGTTTGGTCTCTTCTAAGGCCTCTCTCCTTGGCTTGCAAATGGTCACCTTCTTGCTATGAATTCACATGGTATTTCCTCTCTGTGTGTGCCCCTGGTATCCCAAATTTCCCCTTCTTACAAGAATACCAGAGTACATTAGGGGCCATCCTAATGACCATTTAATGTAGTCACCTCCTTAGAGCCCCTATGTCCAAAAACAGTCACATTTTAAGGTACTAGGAATTAGTGCTTCAACATATGAATTTGGGGGAGCTGTAATTCAGCCCACAATAGCTGACTAGGTTCATTTATTTCTGCCAACGGCACTTGCTTAGGCTTTGTTCATCTTAGAGCCAAAACAAAGTCTTAAAGCCTCCTTCCCCTATTAATCTGTAGAAAGAAGTGATTTAGGGACTACATTCCACATAGTCCTCCAAGCATCATGTGGGCCCTTTGGGTACTTATAAATGAAGACGTTCATAGTGACCCATCTGTTGCAATATGATTAGTTGTCTGGCAGTCATCAAAACGCTGTTCAGCAACAGATCCTATAGATAACCTGTGAAACCAAGAGATGCTTTCATAGATTTTTTTTCCTACAGCATACCAGGTAACTAAAAAATAAGAGGCCAGCCAACAGTGTGATGTGATGGCAGCTGGATCTCACTTGGTACACTGTGCTGTTTTGAGTCTTGGACTCAGCAGCTTGAAAGGCATGGCAGGCACATGTGCCTGCATGCCCCAAATTCCCAGAAAACAGAAGAGAAGTGGTTGCAGTGTGGCCACCTCCAAGAGAGTACTATCTCACTCCCCATCTGCTTTGTTTCTCTTCAGTGAGCACACATGACTCATAGCAAAAAGAAAAAAAAATTAAAATATGTAAAGGCGTATCTGCAGAATCCTTACAGCCTTTTCTATTAGGCACTGTCAGTGGTAGGCAAACTACTGGAGAAATGCTTAAAGCCCTTTAACATTTTCAATGAGAAATAATAGGAGCTAAGATGGAAGTATGAGAGGCCTTGAGCTAATTCTTAAAGTTTCCAGTGAATTATTAGGGAGTTGTTGGTTTTTTATTCCCCTTAAATATTGTTAGATATGTCATGTTGAACAAAAAAACTTTAAAGAACATAAGCCAAACTAGTGGTATCTGGGTAATCTTCTTATTCCTTGATACTACATTATCTGCTAAAATTGACTTTCATATGGTTAGTTCTCATGATGCACTCAGTAAGTGAATTATAAACAAGTGTACTGGAATCTTCTTTAAACAGTGTTTGCAGGGGCCCACAGATGGCATGGTGGTTGGGGCGCTCGACTCCCACATGGTTGACTGCAGTTCAAGTCCTAGACTTGGCAGCTTGCTTTCTCACTCTCCTCTCTCTAGCCAAACCAGAGAATAATAATAAATAAATAAAATTTAAACAAGAGGGCTTGCAATAATTAGACATTGCATATACCAATGTCACAGCAGTCATGCTTTAGTCTTCAAATCGTCCTTTTATCTTACATATTTGATGTCATTTATAGTATATGACAATTTTCACTGTCTTGGCTATTATTAGGACCAGCATTAGTAAGAGTGAAGAATTTATTAGTATAGAAATCTGCATCTATCCCCATGGTGTGACTCCTGGACTCTAAGTTACACAGCTGTGTTTGAACACACCTTTTCTGGTAGGTTCTATCTGTGCAAGCCTCTGACAATAAAATGGGAGCCTTCTCCACGCTAGTCTTCCTAAATGTGAGGCCTGGTATTAGCTGCCCCACATTAGCTTTCAAAAGATCATCAGATGACAGATGTCTCATCAAAAGCAACCTTCTTAAGTATGAACACTGCCCAAAGAGAGACAAGTAAAAATTCCAGGCACTATTAAGGGAAATATATTCAGCATAGGTGACAGATAATCATTTTCCCTCTGAATTAAATTAATCAAGTCTGGTGGTTTCATTACAACGCTTAAAGAAGCAAAATAATGGTTTATGAATAGTGGGTAATAAAACCTTTACACCACTTTCATTTAGTACACAGAAACAGTTTCATCTCAAACGTGTTAAAAGCACTTCCCCCCTCCCCCAATGGGAGTCAAGGCATTTTCTCAGTACAGACTTGAACTGGTTATAGGCAAGCAAAGGCTCCTTACAATATTTGTCCTACCATTAATTTTGTTTACTAACGGTTTAGGTCTTAAGTTTTTTGAAGATTAAATGCCTTGGTACGCTTTTGTGTTCTCCTTTTCCCTCCTGTATCGTGTTTGTTACCCTTTTGGTCTTCTGACACTTCCATTTTCTGTTACGTTCCTGCTATGCTCTGCAAACGGCAGAAACACGGGATGTAATCAAATTTCTTATCATTTCCTCCCTTCATTGTAGGGCTTCCAGATTGGCAATCGAAAGACGACTCAGGTGCAGCCCAAAGATCCCCTAGTTAGATTTTCCAAGTGAAGTATGTGTGGAAAATCATCTCCTTGCCCTTCATTTTGTGTCTGTTTAGCTAACGGCGCTGCCGTGCCCAAACGTAGATACTGGCCAAGAACTAGATTTTTCAAAATGGCTTTGCTCCTTCCGAGCTGACATGGCCTATAAATTGCAGTTTATTTCCACTGCAACCAAACCTCCCTACTCCAAATATTACCCTATACATGCATGGCTAAACCTAATGTACTACAGACGACCGAATCCAATCCGCTCAGTTCAGGAGAAACCACAGAGCCTCCGCACTGATGTAAAAAGAGAGTTAAGAGAAAGAAAAAACATCAACCCCCACCCCC